GTGGCCTGGCTGACTGTCCCCTCCTCTGGGCGGGTGACCTACTCCCTCTGCCCCCACAAACAGGGCAGGAGGTCTGTCCCCACAACTGGGAACCCCTGGAGGACAGGCTGCCTCAGATTCATGCCTGGAATAAAATACAGAATGAAGAGAGGGAGGAGGGAACCAACGGAGGAGTGAATGCAGCTCCAAAGGCTGGACGGGGCCTCCCCACCCCACGTTGCTCCGGTGTGGCCCCCACTGCCCTCAGCTTTGTCAGTCACCATCCGCGGGACCAAAGGCCCGCCCGCAGCCCTGTGCCTGGCACACAGTAGGTGTGCAGTGCGGGCCTTTGAGGCACGGGCTGTGAGAGTCGAGGCTGAGCCCTCTGGGCCCCTGTTTGTGTGGATGACGGAGTTGCCCGTTTCACCACTTTGCACCCCGCGTCTACCACATGGTCAGAGAATCGGGGCGTCCTCAGCTTCCGTGGGGTCTGTAGTCCTCTGGTCTTTCTGCCTTCATCTCCTGTGCCCATTGCTGTTCTGACCGAGATGAGATGAAGCCAGACCTGCTGGAGAAGAGGAGGAGAGAGGCTGTGGGTGCAGGACCTGAGGCACAAAGGGGCAGGCTGCCCTGACCTACCCGGGCAGATGGCCCCCCAAAGGCCAGCTCCATGGCCGACTGGGGTTACCACCACGCCTGGCCCCCAGGAGCCCAGCACTGCCCAGCTTGCAGGGAGGCCTGGCACCTGGGGACACTGGGAGGGGGCCTGGCGGTGCCCTGGTGCACTCCTCCCCAGGGTCTCTGGGATTCCCCCCGCGTGGATCACGGGCTCAAAGCCGAGTGACCTTGGGCAGGTCACTGAGCCTCCTGGCCCTTTGTGTCCTCCTGGGTGGAAGGAGTAAATACAATCATGACTGTGTGGCATGTGGCAGGGCCTCGGTAAGGGCCAAAGTTGCCATTATTCTCTAATCCCTCTACTCATTCAACGAATATTTATTGAGCCTTTAAAAGTCGGAACAAGCTGGAATGTTCAGAAGTTGACATACTAACACAAAATTAAATTCCATGAATGACAGTAAGCTGGCCGGTCCCCAGGTCAGGCGGATACCTCCCCTGTGCGTGTCTGTCTGCTCCTGTGCACAGTGGACCACGAGTCCACCTCACTGGAGGATGCAGGCGAGGATGTGGGCCCCGGTTTGGCCAGCCCACCCCCAGCCTGGGTGGGAGGGGGAGGTCCCAGTTGGGGGAGGGGGGAGGCCCATGACCCCTGAGGGCAGGGAGCCCCCGTGCATCTGCCGCTGCCTCTGCCCAGCGGGGCGGTTCGGGGAGCAGGTGTCCCAGGCCCTGCGTGCGGTTTGGCTGTTGGTGTCTGTTCCCTCCGTGGCCTCCTGATTCTCCTTCCTGAGTGCTGCTGCTTCATTGTTTTTACCCTCAGCATTTGGGGGACCCCAGGGCATCCAGGCTGCGCCAGGGACAGGTGCGGGTGCATTCGGAGGGGCCGAGGGCTGGGGTCGTGGCTGAGAGTGACCCTTCTTTTCCCCCCTCAGTGAAGGCTGATGAGACGGGCTCCCTCTAAGCTGTGCCCTACTTTGTCCCAGCCCCCGGGTGTGTGCAGGAACAGGGCCAGGTGGGGATGGCATGAGGGGCCCACGCATCTGTGCAGCTTGAACAGAAAGTCCCCCTCCCTCAAGGGCCCAGCCCGGCAGCCCAGGCCCGTCCGTGCCGTCCGTCCTCCAGCACCCCGACTGACCCGGGCCGCGTCTCGGCCTCCTGCTCCGGCCCCCAGGGGTGGGGCCTGCTCCTCCCTCTGGTTGTCCCTCATAACTTGAGACCCCAAATCTGAAATTAAAATGTTCCTCCATCCTGTGGGCCCCACTGCTCAGCGCGGCCTCATTTATTCCAGCTTATTAACACAAGGATGCAGTGCTGGACCACAGTGCCTCTGAAGCCGCTCGCAGCGGGCGGGCGGAAGATCAGCAATGCTAATGCTGATAATTAGAACTCGCAGCGGAATTTAAGGGCCGGGTTTCATGTTGGGAATAATCGAGTGGACTGGAGGGGTGGAAGCAGGCCTGCCTGGAGCCCGGCCGCAGATCAGGCCCTCTTGCCACGGGGAGGCGTGAATCATTTCCTCACCATCTAACCACACGGTGCCTGGTGGAGGTCGGCGGTGTTTCAGGCGTCTCTGTGGTTTCCCGTGACTGTTCCCTTTTACAGGTGGGGACACTGAGGCTCAGAGCGGCAGAGGCTTGTCCACGCGCTCTACCCCCCAGCCCCTGGTAGTGAGTTTCCTGAGGGCGGGGGCGACACCCCTTTCGTGTCTGTGTCCCCACCACCGAACTCCGGGCTCTGCCTGGGATTTTTCATGACTCCTGTCACCCTCCTGCTTAAAACCCCCCTCCTGGGCTCCCTGGTCTCCATGCCTTGTCCCCATGTCGCATGTCCCCCTGGGGCCACTGCTCCTCCTCCCTGGCCTCCCTGCCTCCTCTTGCGCTGCCTCTGGTCCACCTCGCGTCTCTGGGCTGTTCCTCCACTGCCAGTGCTGCCAGCACACGTGTGCCCGCCGGGAGCCGGAGTGCAGTCTGGGGACGTCCTCTATCCCTCTCAGCCCCTAACCCACCACCCCTTCTCTGCAGTTTCAGGTGCTCATCAGAGGGATGAGAACAGAAGTCGGTAACAGGACAGTGAAGTCCTGTCTATGATCGTGAGGCCAGTGTGTGTTTTATCTCCATAAACGGCCCATGTCGATTCCAGCGCTGTCTCAGCGCCACCCAGAAACCACACCTGCTCCTGATCCACTCCCGGGTCCCCGGTCCCCTCCTGGAGATGGCGCCTTGCTCCTCAGGCCCTGGTTGACGTGCCTAGGACTTGATTCCAGTCTGCACGTAGCACGGGGGCTGTGAGGCTGCCAGGAGGTGGCGGGGGTGGGTGGTGACCCTCGTCCTCCCCCGGGGGCCGTGGGGCTGCACTCCAGCCCGCGCCCCTCCAGCAGCCCCCCGCCCCCGTTTTCCTTTCTTCCCGTGGGGGCTGGAGCTGCAGCTCTTGCTGTTTTCTTAAATACATAATTTTTTCTCTTTGCAATATAATTTACATACATTGAAATTCACACGTCTTTACTGTTTGATGAGTTTTGACAGTTGTACACACCAAGTGACTTACCCCCCCCCCGTGAAGACAGAGCATTCCCATCCCCCCAGGAGGGAGGGGCCCTTGTGCCCTGTCCCATCACTCCTCCCACCTTCCTCGCTTCCATGAGCTTCGTGTCAGTGGGACCGATCAGTAAGTGGCCTTCCTGGCCCCCTGCGTTCGCTCGAGGCTCCTCCCTGCTGCTGGTGGGCCCGCCTCGCCCTCTGCTCTGTTCGTCACATGGCCCGGATGTGTCACCATGGCTGTCCACTCTCCAGCTGACGGACGCTTGGGTTTTTCCACTTTGGGGCGATAATGAATAAGGCTGCTCCGGACATTCGTGGGCATGCAGTTCTGAGGACACATTTTCATTCCTCTATGTCAGTACCTAGGAGAGAAGTTGCCAGGTCCTAGCGCACAGGCTGTGTTTAATTTGTAGGAAACACCAAACTCTTTTTGAAGTGTCGTGTCGTCTCTCCTACCCCCGCGGTTCGTGAGGCCCAGGCTCCCACCTGGCCAGGGGTGTCGGAGAAGGCTTCCGTGATGGAAAGAGGGGCCGGCCTGAGCCCAGGCGTGACACGGGCACAGGGTGGCAGTGGTGGGACCCCCTCCCTGTCATGAGGGACCCAGGAAGAGGAGCTGGCTTGAGAGGAAGGGGAGGCGTCCGGTGGAGGGGTTGTCCTGTGCGGGCCTGGAGCTCAGAGGAGAGGGGTTTGGGAGTGGGGGCATTTACAGTGAGATGGGGGCTGCAGGCCAGGGGCCGGCATTTCTGCCAGGACAAGGGGCGAGCGTGAGCTCACAAAGGCCTCTGCCAGGAGCCAATGTGAACTGGTCTGGCTGCTAGTGGCTTCCCTGGTCCCTGCCTCCACCGCCCAGCACCACCCTTCCCCTGTTCGACACTGCTGGGAGGAGCCCTCCGGGGCCACCTGGAGGCGGGGGTATTGGAGCAGGACCCCGTGCATTGCCATGGCCCCCGCACTCATTTCGGGAGAGAAGGCGGCAGTGCCTCCTCTCCTGGGAGGCGATTTTGGCTACATTTAGCCTGTGAGGGTTTGTCCCTCCCCACCCCGCCCCAGGACATTCAGCTCAAAGTCTAAAGCTTGTTTTCAACACTTTATTCATTTCCATCAGAAATACTGTTCCTTGTAAAACTACCCCAGCAGAGAGGACAGAGCGTTGAGTGTCCCCCGGGGGACACCGTCTGCACGCAGAGCACAGCTCAGCAGGTCACTGGGCCCAGCTCGCAGGCTCTGCTCAAGGCCTGGGGTTCCTGGAGGAGGGCAGAGACGGGGCAGCTGAACACCTTACCTTCCTAATCTCTGATTCTTCACCACTCTAGGAAGATGACATCTGCATCCCCATTTTAGAGATGACGAAACGGAGGCTCGGGGAGGGTGGGTAGCCTAATCAAAGGCACGGCTGCCTGAGGCCACGTTGTCCTACCTCTGTGCAGCTTTTTCGGGGACTCCTAAGCTCCAGGTGCGTGCCACACACTCCTCTTTTAACCATCACAGCCAATCTGCATGCATGTTAATTGTCCCTGTTTTACAGATGAGGAAAACTGAGGCTCAGGGAGTGTGATGACTGTGCAGGGTCTTACAGCCCATCGGTGGCAGGGCCAGGATTTGACTCCAGGACTCTGGGCTGCTTTCCTGCAGTTCCTGGCTGGCCTCCCAGGGAGCACGTTGGGGCGGACGTGATGGTGGAGGTGACAGTGGACAGACCCCCACGACTCCTTGGGACCACCACGGGCAGCTCTTGCACATGTGGGCATTTGGCTGGAGTGGCAGTTTGAAGGCTCTGCTTTTTTCCTTGACTCAGAGTAGGTACTTACATTGTATGCAGGTGTGTGTTTAACCAGGTGTCAAGATTTCAGAGGCCCCAGGGGTTTCCCCATGGGCGAAGCAGGCGCTGCCTTCACCCCCAAAGCAGAGAGCCACAAGTATGGGGCTCCCACTCTGTGCCCTCCCCTTTACTCACGAGGTGAGGGTGACACCCTGGGCCGTCATCAGTGTGAACCAGCCCAGTGGTGATCTTCCGGGGCCCCAGGGTCAGGGGACAACCTCCAGTTCCTGAGCAAGGATCCCTGGCAGGACAGCATCTTTCTCCCTGTTGGAGACTCAGCCCCAGGGAAGGATTCTGATTGGCTCCACTGGGTCATATGCCCGCCCACTAGACCAGTAATAGGTCCCAGATAATCCAGTGCTGTGATTGGCCAGGTTGGGTCATGTGCTCCAGTCTGAAGCTGGGGGAGGGTCTTGGTGCCCCGCCCACCGCCCAGGCAGTGAGTCCCTGGGGGCCAGGCAGCCAGCGCTTCCTTCAGCAGCCCTGGGCTTGGGGAGCATCACTGCTTTACTGAGTGAGGTCCAGGGAGGGCTGGTGGCCCAGCACAGAAACGGAAGGGTGTTCCAGGCAGGGGGCAGTGTGCGCACGTCCGTGTGTGTGCACTGGTACCTGTGTGCGTGCAAAGGCGCGGAAGTGTGAAGAGATTCTCCCCCACCATCTTCTGGCTCAATTTCATACTCATCACTACTAACTACGGACTGGCCTAGGGATGGTATTTACAGACCACCATCCCTGGGGACTTGCCTGGCCAAGGTGAATCAGAGGAAAGGTCCCGAAAAGTCTGCCCAACTATTCACCTGGGAGTGAAGGAAGGAGCCGTTCAGGAAAGCTCATTGTGCCTTGGCGTCTGTCTGGCACAGGTGTGCTTGGGGGTGGCTTTGGCCCCCTTGTGTTGCTTACAGGGTTGCAGGGGACACCCATGCTCTGGGGAATGTCCTTTAGGACAGGCTGTGTTAGGCCATGCCTGGGGGGGACTTGGCAGTAGTAGGGCCTCTGGCCCCAGTTAAGCTCGCTGAGAGGAAGGACAGCCATGCAGTGTCTCCCGTCATGTGACCCCATGTCTGTGGCCACCTGGCAGATCTACCCCGGCCTCCCCCATGCAGAGGGTCAACCTCTGGATGTGGGGAGGCCAGAGGCGGGTTCTGGTGGGAGTCGGCCAGTGTCCACACGGTATCTGCTCCTGCCAGCCTTGCCCGTGTCCCCTCGCCTTTGCTCCACGCAGATCTCAGCAAGACCAGGAAGCGGCCCAGAGGCGAGCCCTTGGTCCTTGCTCCGCCTAAGGAGGGTCTGGCCCCCAGCAGTCTGCTGGGGAAAGACGGAGGATCAGGCGGGGGCTTTCTCCCCCGCAGACTGGGGGTGCCGGCTGGCGCCTGCCGCACAGGGCACTCTGTGGTCATTGCTCCTGCCGCCCCCACCACGCTTCCTGCCCTTGGCCTGGGTTGTCTCACTGCCAAGTTCCGAAGGTATTGTCTAGTGGCCTGTCTGCCGCCTCCCCTAGGTGCTGATGGCCCCATCACAGACATGGGGAAATTGAGTCAGGAGGTGAGGGTGCCGATCGGAGTCACTCCTGGAGGCACCACCGGGGTTGTTTCACCAGGTCCTCCCGCCTCCCCCTCCCCGAGCTCAGTGTGGTTCCCACCGCCCAGGGCCACATGCAGAAGAGTGACCCCTGGGATCCACCATCAGCATCATTTCCCAGTTCCCAAAGTGCTGCCACCAAGTGTGGTCCCCTGTGTGTCTGAGCTGTGTGCCGAGCCCCCCAGGGTCCCTGAGCCCTCTGTGAGTCGTCCCTTCCTCCCTGTGGCCTGGTCTCATCCTGCAGGACCAGGTGGAGGAGGGGAGAGAAGGGAGGGTGGGGGCGGGGTGGTGGAAGGACTGTCCACTTAAAACCTGAGGGCCACAGTCCCCCTCAGAGTCCCCTCCCACGCATGTCTCACCAGCCACTCGCCTGGGGCAGGTCACTTCATCTCCCTGCACTTCCCTCATCTGCACGTTGGGACCCTGAACTCATCCCTTAGAACTGTGGAAGCCACCTCGACGCAGAGGTGCCTTGTGTACGTCAAACACCCCCACGCCCCTTCCCTGATGGTGGGACCTCCATCCACCAGGTCCCTGCTGGTTGGGAAGTGTCAGATCCTGGCTGACATCCTGGACCTGCGCTGGCTTGGAGCCTGTCACCCACAGACAGGGCGGCACCCTTGCCTTGCTTACTTCTGTCCACACAGGGCCTGGCACAGGGTAGCTGGTCAGTAAACATGCTGAGTCTAATTAGTGCCAGCGGATTAAGTAGTGGGGATTTAATCCTGTTTCCCTATCAGTTGCCGGGTCGGTAAATCGAATCAGGAGCTGGTTGCCAAGGGCAGGACCTTGCTCCCCCAGCCAGACCGTCCTTTGTGGGGCTCCCAGGAGCCTCCAGGGCCCGTATCTTGGTCTGGGTGGTGGTTACTTGGGTGTAGACGTTTGTCGAAACCCCCCCAGTTGCCTCCGGGGGTTGGGGCGAGCCCCTCCCCACTACTGCCCACATGAGGCTCACTGCAGGGGGCCTCTCCCAACAGGGGAGAGGGACCCGGCTGTGGCGGGCACCCCATGGAGCCATGCAGATGTGTGTCCCCTAAATTAGATTCTGGGGCATTGGAGGTGGCAGGATGATGAGGCTGGGGCCAGTGGGAGTGTGCGTCAGCCGACCCCATGTGGAAATTAGATCCCCTAAATGACTGTTTTATGGAGGTCTGGGGTCGGTGGGGGAGAGCCCGTTTAACACGCCTGTAGGTTGCATTTCACCCTCACTGGGATCTGTTTTGATGATGCGTGCCCCTGCATCCGAGGGCCCAGGGAGCAGCTCTGGGGCCTCCTGCCAAGGGGCAGACACAACGGCTCCCGAGTCGCAGATAGCGGGGAGCACGAGGTGAGCACAGGCAGTCCATGGGGACCAGGGGACCAGGAAGGGTGGGCACCACCACTCCACGCCTTCCTCTCGCCCCAGACCCCGGGGAGAGGGAGCGGTCCCTGTGGTGCCTCCTCCCCTGCAGCCCTGGAGACCAGCCCATGCCCTTCGGTACCAGATTTTGCTACATCATTCCAGAGGTCAGACAGGAAGGGAAACTAGCCCCAGGGTCTTTCCAGCATCCAAGTGAGGCTGCAGCCCCAGCCCCTGGGTCCTCTGTGTGCCACACCGCCTCACCCATCCTGCCTCACCGCTGAGAGGCTGGCCTCCTCCCTAAGAGGCCCCTTCAGTGGGGATGGGGCAGCGTCCAGCCAGGGGCCCCCATCCAGGAGCACCCCTCTCCCGTGACCTGGGACATGCCCACAGCCAGAGCTGGGCAGGAGGGCGGTACCTCCCCCTCGGGGAACTAGCGCCTGCAGGGCCCGGCGGAGGGGACTGGCGGGGAGTTGTGACTGGTCCCCCCCCCCCCGCCAGGCCAGTTCTTCTTCAGACGCTGCGTTTGTTTCCCAGGTGAGTTGACGGGCTGCGGCCTTGCGGACGCCCCGCCCCAGAGCTGGTGCGGCTTCCGGCTTCCGAGGCTGCTGTCTGTAGGGAAGTTTCCAGCATGCCCCACCCTCACGGCCTCCCAACCCCACACCTGTGGTTGCCAGGGACTCATGGCTGGTTTTTTTCACACTCTGAAGATCACAGCCCCCAATTCTTAGTCCACGATGCCATTTGGAATGTGTATTTCCTACTAAATAGCGTAAAATTACACCCTTTCAAGTTAATTAAACCACTTTGCCACACTGGGTGTTGCCAAAAGGGTGTTTTAAATGTCAGCACAGAGTAGCCACTTGTGTTTTCTGGGGCTTTCTGATTAAGAATGGCCTCCTCCGTAAAGACCACTGCATTGGTTAAGTGGCCCCGGGCAGCCTGCCTCAACCAGCCCTGCTCGGCCAGGGTCACCAGGACCCAGTCTGGCTGGAGCCCCCTGTGCTGGCAGCTGTGCCCCCACCCGCCCCAGGTGCTCAGTAAACAGGTTTGCTTTGGGGCGGGGAGTAGGCAGCGTCCCTAGAATCGGAGCTTCAGAAAATGACTCCCCGTGAGGGGCTTGAAGAAGCGGGTTTTGGAGGAGGGTGCTTGTTTTCAAGACTCGGTGTTGAGGTCTCCTGAGAGGCCCCGGGGTGTAGCTCCCCTCTCCCAGGAGCTGCTGAGCACTGGGGAGCACGCCCCAGACCTGGGGAGAGGGCAGGATGCCCAGGGCAGGGGCCAGTGGGTGTGGGTGCCTGTGGACAAGAGCCTGACGACCACGGCTGGTCCTGGGAGGGGAGATCTAAACAGGTCTGCGCAGCGCTGTGAGCCACTCGGACCCCCTGCCCCTCCAGCCAAGAGCCTGCGTGGACTCCCCGACGCCTCTTTTCCATCATGAGAACATTCCAGTTGATCTGTCCCAGGGGACAGCCGAGCTGTTCCCAGTCTTCCCCGTCGCAGACACTGTTGGGAACCTGCTCCCGTGTGGTCCCTGCGCACATGGGCACGGGTGGCCTCAGGAGTGCCCAGAGGGGGACCCACAGGCCTGGGCATGCTTGTCCCTCCTTCATCAGGAGACCTCGTTGCCCTCCTGCCATTGCCATCCCCCTCGAGTCCTTCCCTCCGCCTCCCTTGTCACCACCCGGGGTCCCTAACAGGCATCTGTGAACCGAGGACCCACTGAATGAATCACACCCGTGGCTCTGGGCCGGGTGCCTCCTGTCCGCCCCTCTGGTCCTGGGAACAGAGAAGGTGGTTCTTGATCCCCTGCTCCGGAGGTGAGGACGGGATGAAATTCGAGTGCGGGTTGGTTGGCCCCCACCGGTAACACGTGCTCCGGGTGTGTGCTGGGTCTCAGCTGTAGATACGACCTGGGCCAGGAGGAGGGGGACTTCCAAGACACGGGGCAGCGAAGGGAGTTGTGCCTTTCCCTGGGTTTTCACATGAACCCCAAAGGCCCCTGACAGCCCCCCGTGGACAAGCTCAGGGCTAGTGGAGGCAGGGAGCAGGCGCGGGGGCCCCGAGCTGGGGCTGGCAGAGCCCGCCAGGAGCACACGGAACTACCCCGTCTCCTCTGCAGCAATAAAGGCGGCGGTCAGGTTTCATCTGTGAATAATAAACCGGTTTCACACGACGGTAAGAGTGGTGCTTGTGTGATGTTAACATTTATTGGCACTTACGGATGTTGGAGCCCCACGCTTACCTCTGCCCCACGTCACAGGGGTGCAGGGAGGCAGGGAGGACTGCAGCTCGAGAAGCTGTGCCGCCGCTCGGCCGGCCCGCGGCCTGGAAGCGGGCTCCTCCTGGGCTGTCCTGTGTGGCTCTCAGAGGCCTGGGGCTGCTGCCCCACTCTCCCCACCCAGCCAGGCGGAGGCAGGAGCCTCGTGGGGTGCAGAAAGCAGGAGCCCTGCTCTGGTCAGCTCAGCACATGTTTTCCTGGTCATCGGAGGTGCTGGAGAAGGGGACACTGCGGTCCTTGAAGCCCCGCTCAGCACGCAGACCTGGCAGTGAGTGCCCTGGGCCCCTGTGGGACATCAGCCTCCCAGACGAAGTTAATAGTGGTTTGTGCCCCAATACAGGGCACTTGGGATACAGGGCACTTCCTCCTCCTGCAGGGGAGCCAGGCTCCCAGGAACTCCTGCTCCGTGTCCACAGTGCTGACTGGGGCCCAGCTGCCCAGGTCAGATGAGGAGGAACATTCGTCTCTGTGTGGTGTAGCCGCATTCCTCGGGGACCGCTGCTCCGGGGATGTAGTCTGAGCTCCTTAGGAGTCAGGCCATGACCTGGCCTCGGCTCCCCTGCTGATCACGCCAGGGGCACCAGCTCCTGGGAGGCGCTCGCTTGCCCTCCTGCCCCCTGAGCTCCAAGTCCTGAATTCTCTCCTTTGGCTCAGAATCTCAGCCCAGGACTCACCTTGCACCACAAGGATGTTTGTGGGCAGGGCAGCTGAGCAGGGGGTGATGCCAAGCAGGGGCTGGGGATGGACTCACCTGGAATGAAACCAGGGGGCAGATCAGTAAGGATGTTTGGGGACTGAGGGTGTACGGGCCCCAGGAACCCTCCGATGTTTGGGGTTCCCGTGGTGGCCAAGGGCTCAGGCTCCGGTGAGATCGGGCCCTACCATAGACTGGCCGCGTGGTTGTGGTGTGACATCCAGCCCCTGGCCTCGGCATCCCTCGGTGGGGAGGTAGACATGGCAGAGTGTTCCAGTAAATGCAAGGGGAACCCAGCACCTGATGGCTTCCTTTAGCAAAACTCAACTTCTGCTTTTTCTTCCCCGGTGGGCGATGAAGAGACACAGAGGCCTGGCCAAGGGCCTCCCAGGCCAGGCGTGGTGCGAAACCGTGTTGTTTCAACTCAGCAACAGGCTGCTCCAGTCTAGGCGCCGTGTCCCCCGGCCGCTCAGGGCGCAGACCTTTCCCCTGGGCCAGTTTGGGGCTGTGCTTTCAGAAGCCTCTCAGGGGGTTGGGGGGCTGCTTTTTCCACTATTCAGTGAGGGTTTTCCCT